TGGTTAAAAGATAGGAAACAAAGGGTAGGAATAAATGGTTAGTTTTCAGAATGGAGAGAGGTAAATAGTGGTGTCCCCCAGGGATCTGTACTGGGACCAGTCCTATTCAACATATTCATAAATGATCTGGAAAAAGGGGTAGACAATGAGGTGGCAAAATTTGTAGATGATACAAAATTACTCAAGTCCCAGGCAGACTGTGAAGAGCTACAAAAGGATCTCTCAAAACTGGGTGACTGGGCAACAAAATGGCAGATGAAATTCAATGTTGATAAATGCAAAATAATGCACATTGGAAAACGTAATCCCAACTGTACATATCAAATGATGGGGCCTAAAGTAGCTGTTACCACTCAAGAAAGAGATCTTAGAGTCATTGTGGATAGTTCTCTGAAAACATCCACTCAATGTGCAGCATCAGTCAAAAAAGCGAACAGAATGTTGGGAATCATTAAGGGATAGATAAAACAGAAAATATCATATTGCCTCTATATAAATCCATGGTACCGCCACATCTTGAGTACTATGTGCAGATGTGGTCACCCCATCTCAAAAAAGATATATTGGAATTGGAAAAGGTTAAGAAAAGGGCAACAAAATGATTAAGGGTATGGAGCGTCTGCCATATGAGGAGAGATTAATAAAACTGGGACTTTTCAGCTTGGAAAAGAGACGACTAAGGGGGGATATGATAGAGGTCTATAAAATCATAACTGGTGTGGAGAAAGTAAAAAAGGAAGTGTTATTTACTCCTTCTCATAACAAAAGAACTAGGGGTCACCAAATGAAATTAATAGGCAGCAGGTTTAAAACAAACAAAAGGAAGTATTTTTTCACACAACGCACAGTCAACCTGTGGAACTCCTTGCCAGAGGATGTTGTGAAGGCCAAGACCATAACAGGGTTCAAAAAAGAACTAGATAAATTCATGGATAGGTCCATCTATGGCTATTCACCAGGATGGGCAGGGATGGTGTCTCTAGCCTCTGTTTGCCAGAAGCTGGAACTCGGTGACAGGGAATGGATCACTTGATGATTATCTGTTCATTCCCTCTGGGGCACCTGGCATTGGCCACTGTCCGAAAACAGGATACTGGGCTAGATGGACCTTTGGTCTGACCCAGTATAGCCGTTCTTATGTTCTTTTTGCCTCCTGGGACACGATGCAGAGGAGTTGGGAAGACAGATGAGAAGGAGCAGTTGCAAATGACTGAATATAGGATCACCCTTTGAAAAACATTCAGTCCCTTTGTCTTAGAGGGTCTAATTTTTACATAAAAAGAACAGGAGTACTTGTGGCACCTTAGAGACTAACAAATTTATTAGAGCATAAGCTTTCGTGGGCTACAACCCACTTCTTCGGATGCACACGGCTGCTACTCTGAAACCTGTCATTTTTACATAGCTACTCATGTTACAGATTGGTTGCTCCACTCTGCAAGGGAAGGGGTTTGCCTGGTAAGATTTCTGTCTCCTTGCTCTGGTCAAACATGGTCCATCTGCACTGCTGAGAATCCATGGGTAGGAATTCATTTTGGAAATGTCTCCATTCACGTGTCTTGTGCTAACAGCTGGTCTTGCAGGGTTAAATTTCAGCTGTGTCATATACAGGGAATGGGGTGGCTGTGCCACCTGGTGGTGTGATCACCTCACATCTTATATTATACTAAGCAGAGTTGGGTCTGGTTTGGAAAGTAATTGGATGGGAGACCTCCCAGGAAAATTCAGGATGCTGCAGGAAGTATTATTTGTAACTGATGGTGGTCATCTTCTAGGGTCTATACTAAACCAATGCCCCAGAATAGTGCTAGAAGAGCAGTGTTGTGTTTGTCTTTCAGATGACACACAGAGAGGCTCTAAATTCTAATGATCATCAGAACTCTAAACAGAGCTCATGGCACTTTCCATAAAAGTAGGGTGTTAGCCAGACCATTGGGGCTACATTTTAATGAGAAGTTACATTCTGCTGATCAAAACTCCCCCTGAAATTTCAATTGGATGCTATTGTCTTCACTCCTTGTCCTGAACTGTTGTGTAAAGCTGCTATTAAATGCCTGCTCTATTTCACTTTTAATTATCGTTACTATTTTTTCATATAGAGCTATAAGCTTATGCAGCACTTTACTTCTAGATCTATGTTTTCTATCCCACAGAACTGACTCTCAAACTATGACCAACACAAGGCACGGGCAACGATTCAGGACGGGGAGGATGTGGGGATTATTAATGAGGAAAAGAGGGAGGAGAGATAGCTGGACAAAGATTTGGAGGAGGATACCTGACAGAGGACGACAGGGAGATGCTGTAATAGGAAAGAAGGATATAGAGCTGAGGGAGGGGGAAATGCAGAAAAAAGGAACAGTAAAGTAAGAGGACTGGGAAGAGTTTAGATGGTGGGTGGGTGGGGAGTTGCTAAGAGAAAGTGAGAGCAGAGGTGTAGGTGGGGAATTACATAAGGCCTTGCATATTAACATGAGCTTGAATTGGATGTGTTGAGGCAGGAAGCCACAAGCATATGAAGGCATCACTATGGAGCAGAAGGAGACAAAGACGACATTACTAGTGGTATTTTGGACAGGTTGAAGAGGAGAAGGTTACAACAATAAGGGCAAGAACTGACCATGGTTTTAATGGTGGGAACAGGAAGGAAAGAGTGGATTCTGGTGATAATTAAGAGGAAGAAGAAACAGGACTTAGCGAGAGCCTAAGTGGTGGGTGTGTTCCTGGGAACATGAGGGAAAAGGCAGGTTAGAAAAGATCAGAGGCAGCGAACTGACTGTGGTTAGACTCCACAGAAAAAGGGGTCTTAGCAAAGAAGATGATCCAGCATGGGAGTGCTGAATTAGATAGAAGAGGAGCTGTGACAGAAGGGAACAAGAGATGACTGGAGAGCTAGGGAGGAGAGCCAGGAGAACGGAGTGATTCATAATACAAAGGCTGCAGTGAGCCTGGAAAGAGGTTTTTAACTATATAGAGAACATGTATATTTCAGGACCTATGGGAGGCTCATGTGGAATGCACCATGACCAGGTGAGGCACAGGCAGCTGCATGAAGCTGGTTTAACCTTAACCAGTCAGAGGGCCTAATGTTCTTCTTATTTTACTCTAGTGAAACCCCAATGTACTATTGCCAGCCCCAGGTATTCAAAGATCATGAGTCAGGTCCCAAAAAATCACGGAGATTGGCTTTAAAATCATGAGAATTAAAAGAAAAAAAATTGACTTCTGGTTTCTGAGCCTTTAGGAGCACTCAGGCACAGGTGCCAGCTTCCTCATTTCCCCCAGGGGGGCTAGATCCTTGCTCTGCCTCAGGCCCTGCCCCACTCCACCCCTAGCTCCAAGGCCCCACCCCTGCCTGCCCCACCTCTTCCCCTCCAGCGTCTCCTGCACACCGCTGTTTGGGAGGCGCGGGGTGGGAGGAGGAACTGATTGGCAGGGCCGCCAGTGAGTGCTGAGAACCCACTATTTTTTCTCCAGGGTTTCTCTAGCCTCAGAGTACCCACGGAGTCAGCACCTATGCACTCAGGTCACATTTGCAAGATTCTCTCTGCTACCAGGAGGGCTAGAAACTTACCCTTTTTATATGAAAGCTGAGATTCTCACGTAATCACTTGCCTCCAGGATCTGGGGCAGTAAGTAAAACACCAAATATTAGGAGACTCACAATAAAAATTGAGAAAATTGGCAACAACAAGACCTCTGACTTCACTGGAATTACTCTTCGTTTTGGGTAGTTTTCACTGCAGCATTAACTTGGTGATTGGCACCTGAATTAGCCTAGCCTGGGCCTGAGCAGCCATGCTGAAAAACCATATCCAAGCTACTGTGTCCTTACTGGGTGCTGCACTGTGGTAGCTCTTGCCATGAGGGCATGCTACTGGGCCAAAATTACCCTGTTGTCATTATATTGGGGGCCTGACTTGAGATTTTTGAATGCTTCAGATTGGCAATACATCTGTGCTTCTCGCTTGCCTCGCCATTCCCCTGTCCCTCTCCCACCCCTTCACCTTCCCTGTCCCTTGCCATTACCACACCTGCAGCCCAACCCCTCCCTTGCCATCACCACATCTGCTGTCCCCCCCTCCCTTGCCATCACCACAACCGCTGTCCCCCTCGCCTTCACCGCACCCACTACCCCCCTCCCTTGCCTTCACCACAACCGCTGTCCCCCTCGCCTTCACCACACCCACTACCCCCCCTCGCCTTCACCACACCCGCTGTCCCCCCTCGCCTTCACCAC